AATGCATTTTTTTTAAAAACAATTCAGCACCCCAAGCCTACATGCTTCAGCAGAAAATCAAAATGGGGTTTTGATTCCAAAATGCTTCTGTGGGGCCTCATGTGAACAGTAGCTTGGGCCACTAAGGATCCCATTCTCCACAGTGGTTTGGGATCCCTGTGCATGCATCACAGCAGCCGTCACTGCCATGGTGCAGGCCACCGCTCCCCAAAAGGTGATACAATTGTGCATCAGGAGAAATGCAGTCCAATGAAGTAGCTTGGATGTGCATTGTGCAAGGCATCTGGACTATGGTTGCCATCAGGCACCACCATGGCATTTCAGAATTGAAATAGCCTGATTTTCAGGCAAATGTTACAGATTTTAGCCAAAATATTTGGGCTTTTGCTTTTTTTTCTTTCACAAACTTCCGTGCAGGGGAAAATAAAATTTTTTAGAGCGTTGTAATGTCTAATTGCATGGTTCTCAAACAATACACTAGGATTCACACTGGCTGGCACATACAGAGTAGTAGGGCAGCTCTGCAAGATATTACACACTTGTATTTAAAGCTAAGTGAAAAACTATACAAATTACGGAGTCTGGCCTTAAACTTTCCAAATCGATAACATCCAGTTTTATCCCAGAATCTGTTGTACCTTCCCATTGTGCTCTCTGCTGTCAAGCTGACAGACATAGGAACACAGGAAACACTAGACTAGACTGGACCAGGGAACTATCTGGGGTTTTTTCCTTATAATTGATACATGTGTGGTTTTATTCAGGTAACACTTAGCTGAGGGGAAGGCTTGGGCTTGGAGGCCCTTTGTTGAATCATTGCTATTGAATTCTTTTATAATATGTGAACTGGAGAGGAACTTGAAATGTGCTTCTGATACAGGGATTTACAACCAGATTTGTGTTTGGCCGACAGATGACTGCACAGAAAGTAAAAGTTAATCTGCAAGAAGTGGAACTTGTGTTTCAACATTTCTCTGGTGGGTGAGCTACAGTGTGAAACGGCATTGCTTTACAAGGGAGAAACATTACAACATGACTATGATAAAAATTATAAATAAATACAAAATTGCTTGCAATGGCAAGCTTCTTAGCCTAGGAACCTAATCATCTTCCCTGTTAGGAAGACACCTTATGAGGTCCGACTGCTTCTATTTGATTTACAGATGTTTGTCACCTCTGCAATTCAGGCCCTTCTGATTTTACATATCTATGGAAACTTTAAGCAGAAGCATTCAACAACACAAAGTTAGAGCTCATAATAGGAAAGTGAAGGGGGGAGGGAAATGTCGGGACTGCTTTTTCCAGCAGCTGAAGTGCAGCCACCTCTAAGGTAAGCACAGGGCATTATGCATAAATATAAGGGAACTATTTGAAGTGATGGCCAGGGCAGGACACCCAGAGCCATCTCTGAAAGGTGCATATGAGTCTTGAGGTGTCAACAGCACAGCTGTGGCCCCAGTGGTCCCTTCCTATCTACCTTAACACAGGAATGATTTGATCCAAACCAGTTTGGATGGAGGCATTACTAAGCTTGCCTGGACAAGGTGCAGCCATCACAGTTCTGGCAACAAGAGCTTGTGAGTAGACTGCAAACATCAGCCTGTCGGGTTTGGCGCATGAATGTCTCTTTCTCTAATAGGGACTACAGGAGCCGTTGGCATGATCCAGATATGAGATAATAATGCTAATTAGAGCAATATGTTTGATCCAGGCAGAGAAATGGGACTCATCCTGCTTTGTGCAAACTATCTGGCTGCAGCAAAGGGAAGCCGCAAGTCATGAAGCCAGGTGAAGAGTTGCAGCAGAACACCACTGGGCCACCTCTCCACTCCTGGAACCTGGCATCAACCACCGACTTCTCCAGACCTACATCACTGCGGTTCTGGCATCAGAGACCGTAGTCACGGCATGCAGCCTCTGGGCAGAAAGCCTGGGCAGCCATCAAATACAGTGTTTCGAAGGGCAGCTGTCATGGCTTAGCACTGTGATTCCTCAAACAATGGGCAGCAGAAATGCTATGAGTGGACCACAAGGGTCCATACAGGAACTTATCTACAGGGTCAGCCAACCTCCACACCAGTGTGTCTGCAGTGCCAGGCTTCACTGTACTGGGACCCTGTGGGTGGACTTCTATAACCATTTGTGTGCCTATATGGCATTTTTCTAGCTGCATAATGGGCTTTTTTGACCCTTACCCATGGGCCACAGGCAGATTACTCCTGCAGCATGGACACATACGTATGTGGATGCTGGAAACCCAGGTTCCAGGCCTTCTTCTCATTAGAGGAAGTTTGAACCAGAAGGAGCACAGCCCTGTGAGCGAGCTGATTAACTCTGCTGAGATGTTAGACTGATTAGCATCGGTGCAATGACAGTGCTTCTGGTAGGTCTGGCCAATGCTGCATGAATTATAGTGACACAACACTGTACTATCTGTGTGACTTCCAGTTTTAGCTACTCTGCTTTGGTTTTGGAAGCTGCAGGGATCACTTTGCAGCTGGTAAGGAGGACTGCAGGTTGAGACCCACCGGCATGATCCTGGGTGCTGAGCCCATGGACCTCCCACTGCAGGTGACTTACTAGCATGTGTAAACTTCTGGCTGCCACTCCTCCCCTTAGGACCTGCTCCTCTTCCTCTTAGGGAGCTCTGAAAGGCTTGGGATATGGGGCCACCCAGAGCAATCTCCAGGAAGCATCAGACTTTGGTTAAAGGTTAGAGGCAACGTGGCCGAGTGGATGTGAGCCAGGCAGAGAACAAGGTTGTCCACTTCTCTTATCTTGTCTGGTTGTTCTCTTTGAAGTAGCTAGCTGGTTTTATCCCTGCTATTAGCAGCCTACTGTGGGGCTTCTCTGTGCCTTGTTTATTTTTAAAGCTCCTTGGGATCTGTGCACAAGAAAAGCTAGGAGACAGTGAGCAAAATGTTAAGAGTCCATGCAGGCAGTCACCTGAGTACTGTTTGTGCCATGTGCCTTCAGCACAACCTAGTGACAAAGATACAACAGAGGAAACTACTGTTGGTAGGTCTGGCACGTTTTAGAGGGCGTTGAGTAAAGGAAACTACAAAGAACAACTCCCTGCCACTCCCTTCTCCCCCAAATACCGCCAGGCACTGGATAGCACGGAATGCTGAATAAGCTACTCCTAGCCAATGAGATGTTATCATTGAATCAGAAAATTAGGGTTGGACGGGACCTCAGGAGGTCATCTAGTCCAACTCCCTGCTCATAGCAGGACCATCCCCAACTAGATCATCCCAGCCAGGGCTTCATTTAGCTGGGTCTTAAAAACTGCCAAGGATGGAGATCCCACCACCTCTCTGGGTAACCCATTCCAATGCTTTACTACCTTTTAATGAGAAAGTTTTTGCTAATATCTAGCAAACTTCCCTTACTGCAACTTGAGACCATTGCTCCTTGTTTTGTCATCTGCCACCTCTGAGAACAGTCCAGCTCCATCCTCTTTTGAACCCCCCTTCAGGTAGCTGTAGGCTGCTTTTAAATCCCCTCTCATTCTCTTCTCCAGCTTAAATAAAACCCAGCCTCTCCCCAGAAGGCATGTGCCCCAACCACCTAACCATCTTTCTTGCCCTCTGTGGCCTCCCCAGTGCTGAATAGAGGGGAAGACTCACTTCCCTCGACCTGCTGGCAATGCTCCTACCAATGGAGCCCAGTAGGCCGTTAGCCTTCTTTACAACAATGGCACATTGTTGGCTCATCATCACCAAAGACTGTGGTTAGTAGAAGCAAGATCCCTGTGCTTGCATTTCCCTGTTTGCAATTTGTACAAGCAGCATATAGCAAAATGCTGGCTCCCGGTGCCATTCTGAATAGAGGGAGAGCTTGCTGCCATCTAGCTTCTAAGAAGGATAATACAGGCTGGTTTTGTGAAATAAAGACAGAAGAGGTCTGCAGGGTTCGCTACACTGAGGGTTATATGATTTGACCCCAGCAATGTCTGCCCCTTCGAGTTGATAGGCTGCTAGTTCGCCTGGAAGTCCTGTTCTACTAAGTGTGAATGTCCTCTTGCTCTAGCAAAACTCCTTCCTCTTCCTGACTTCACTGTCGGGGTGGAGGGAACTAAGAAATCAACCCCAGCCTAATGAAAACCAAAGCAGTGCTTAAAAAGCTGTGCATGTCACAGTGACCAGGGTTGTGTAAACACAGGAGGTTTCTACGCAGCCAGTACTGGGATTAATTTCTGTCCTGTACACTTTTAACAACAAATATTAGTATATACACGAGTATGGCACTACAAACACAGCTCAAATACCAAGGTGCTACTTAATATTTTGCTAAATTAGGGCTGTTAAGCTTTTACATTTGTAATTTGCTAATGAATTTGATGGGCACAAATTGCTCTTTGCCAGCTGGCTCGCAGAAAACTGAGCGCTCCTCCCACTGTTAATTGATTTAAAAATAAACCCTAGGATCACATTACATATTCATGCAATGTGATTGTATGATGATTAAGCACTAACAATTTAAATATTATGACTGAACCCTCCATTTCTTCTTGCTTACACTATAGACCTGATGAGGCAGCCTTTAAAGAAAAGATCACTAGTATAGTCTAGAGATTGGCAATTTGGGTTTTGACTCAAACTTGTATACATTATATTGCCACAGGTGTGCCAACGTAGATATGAAAGCAGAGCCCTCTAGTGCAGGGGTTGGCAACATACCACCCATGGGCTGCATCCAATCCATGAAGCCACAGGATCTGGCATACAGAGCCTGAGGGCTTTGCCTATGCCGACTCCAGGGCTAAGCTGCAAGGAGGTACACTGGGGCCAGGAAATAGCTAGATGTGCCCTTGTGTAACAGGGAACCCTAGCCCTGTTACCAGAAAGCAGGCCGAACCCTTTAAGACCAGAACTTTCTGGGCACAGACTGCTGGCAGGGTAGGGGTTAAAAGCTGAGCCTGGCCGGCTAGTCAGGTGACCAGAAGGGAGCAGGCCAGAACTATAAAAACCCTGGGCTTAGTGGTAGTGGGGGCCAGCAGCCAAGGGGGAAGGGGTTTGTGTATAAGAGCTTCACAGAGAGGCTTAGTGACCTGTCCAGCTGCTGTGGGAGGGGAACTACTAAGGACTGTCAGAGAAGCCAGAAGAAGGACCGTAACAGACAGTGGAAAGCAGAAGGCAGAGCCCGGGGAAAATGTAAGCTGGAATGCTGCCTTCTTTAATTATCCTTTTTGTGGTGGTTATAACCTGTGGACATACTGTTTATATTTTTTTGATTGATTGACACCGGTGGTTTGTGATTGAGGCTGCTGGGGAGGAGGGGGCCTCACTAGTGCCTTGGGTGCAGTCATAAAGGGCCTAGTGCACTAGAGTGTCAGCTGTATAGGGCCTGTAGCTCAGAGCTAGTTGCAGGACTTTTAAGCTGGGTCCCAGTGGGGGGATCTTGGCTATTAGCCTGAGCTAAAGGAAAGGGTGCCCTTGGGCAGTGGGAGCTTTGGGCTGGACCTTGTGGCCTGCTGGCTCTATGCCCAGTGGACAGGCCTCTGGGCTAGAAAGCCTGGGCTCCAGATTGAAAACAAAAGGAGGGCCACGAGCCCCAAGAGGATTAAGGAGCTAGAGCCTCAGAGTCAAACCCTATCTGGTGAGTTTAGACTGATAGGCCTAGCTAGAGAAAGATGGCGGACAAGGCCCGTGGTGGCTGAGAACCTCAACATAGAATTACAATAGGCAGTCTCCTGCTTGTAAGAACATCTAAATAATATTTACATCAAGACGTGGCAGACGAGTAAAGGCGGGATACGAGACAAAGAGAAATGAAACATTAAGGGATTTCAGGGGTGCTCCTCATAGGTGAAAAAAAAAGAAAAGAAAAGAATGTCACTGGGGAGGGCAACCTGTTACACCTTGTTACCACGGCTTCTTCCCCGCCAGCTACAGCATGGGCACAGCTTCCAGCCATGGGGGAACTGTGCCAGGGGCCAGACAGCTAGAAGCTGCATCCATGCTGGTACTGCTTCTCCCACCCCCTGCCTGCCTCCCAGCTATGGTACAGAAGCAGTAGCAGCATGGATTTTCAGTTGCCCAGCCCTGGCTGAAAGCTGCCCTCCTGCTACACCCTGAGAGTGGATGGCTTGGAGAAGCATTAGTGCGAGGGCAGTTCCCAACTGCCTGGTCCTGGTGTGGGCACAGGGGAAGCCCATAACCACCTGGCCTGTACTGCACTAGAGGCAGGTTGTTCTGGCCCATGGCTTGCAAAGGTTACCAGCTATGGTCTTAGTGGGGATGTGACAGTGTGGCAGAAGGAGTTTTCTTCTGGTTTCACTACACCTTCATTCCCCTCTTCACCCCCAAACCCAGGACGCAAGCTAACAAAAACCCCCTTGTATATCCAGAAGGGTCAGAAGGTTCTGCCAGGAGAGCTATATCCATTATGGAATACTACCTAGTCACATCCCTTGCTATGATGATAAAATATTGTGGCATGGGTCAGTTTAGCAGCTTGATTTCAAGCCTTTTGAGTTGAATTTGAACTACTAATCCTACTTAAAGCCCAAATTGCCTTGTCTGCATTGCTAATGAAATGTAATTAGTTAACTCAGGCTAGCTATTCTGAGTTATGAACACAGCTTTTTCCTTTGTGTAGACCTACCCAAAATGGCCCTTGTTCTGATTTTGCTAGAATTGCAGGGGTACAAACAGGAGCAGAATGAGACCGATCATTTGCATAGTCACCATAACGAGTTTTGTGCCTGAGGTCACTCCACGCACTCACAGAAGTCTTCAGGTGACATTAAGCCATGGTTTCAATTTGAAGGAGCTCTTTCTTCAGGAAGCATGTGCAGGGCTGGATACTGGCATGGGCGAACTGGGCGGCTGTCTGGGGCTGGGACAGAAAGGAGGCCCAAAAATGGTAATTTTTTTCCCGTTGTCCACTTATTATTATCATTATCACTGGTGAATGGGGGCCTGATACTAAAAGATCTCCCAGGCCTCCAGGAGTCTAGGTACGATGCTAAGTATGTGCTCCTGGAGCTAGTAACATAGTGGGGGGCTGGTGCTGCTAAGCTCCTCTGGTCTGCAAGGAGAGCCCTCACTGCAATTAGCTTAATTAAAGAGGAGTTAATTTAGGATGATAAACACCCAGTCTCATCAGCCAACACCCAAGAACTGTGGAACTCCCAAAGCTGTGGACATCAGCTACAACTTGAGCTAATACCCCAAAATGAGCAGCTCAGGTCTGTTTTGGAAAGCACAAAAAGAGACACGTATTCCTCATGTTGTATTCCTCATGTTGACATTGCAATGACGACAAGTTTCTGGTTGCAACTGTGAAACACATTTGTATCCAACTGAATGGCAGGGCAGTATTTTTACCATAAGTACCCGTGTTTTGGGGTCTTTACCAGCAACCAATGGGAAATACAACTGGGTGCAGTTTATCACAAAAAATTTAGTTTTGGCAAAAAATGGCGATTCAGTCCTAATAAAACAGCCTGCAAATATACATCGCTTTCACAGATGTTGGGGGGGCGGGGCTGATACTAAAGATCAGGGTTTCTTTAGAAGAATGAAAAATGCCACACAACGTGAAGCTGTCTGCTTTGACATTTTCGAAATGGAACATTTTGACTTGGTTGGATTGAAATGTTTTCTCATTAAAAAATTCTTTCAAATTAATTTTGATAAATACAGCTTAGAAAAAAAGAAATGTCAAATACCTTGAAATGAATTCTTATGAATTTTTATTTCCCAAAAATTTGAGGGTTTTTTTTTTCCCCAGTCCAAACTGGAAGCTGGATGTTTTTCCCCCTCAAATTTTGAAATAGCCAGCAAACTGGATTGCTTGCTTGGCCTGTTACACACATCAGCTGACAGAAGTGAGTTGACTGGACATTTCATTTGTTTTTATTTATTTATTTACTACTTTTATCCTGCCTCTTGTTTCATTAGATTGGACATTAAATAAACTCCTTAAGGCCAGAATCCCACCAGTTGGTGAAGAATCGGCACCCATCTACTAAAATCAGCAACGCTATGCTAATGCACACCAGCTGGAGATCTGGCAGCATACACTGTCTTATGTTTCTGGGAAGTACTGGCATATGATAGAGGCAATCAAGGATGCTTTACTAAACTTGTAGTATTAATCATTAATCTCTGCCACACAGGAGCTACTTACCTGCCTAAATACGCAGCTGGACTGGGCCACTGTCTTGCATCTCCATTTGGAAAATGCAGGCCAATAGCCTTTTGCTACTTCTCAGGGCAGGGCTGTCCTACTCATGGCCTACAGGGTCTTGTAGCCACCTGTCCTATAGTGGTGGGAGCTGGGGTTTGCTGCATGCTGTCAGCACTACCCGCAGAGCGGGGGACAGGGGCCATATGCCACCCATCCAGCTGATGCAGTGGAGGACAGGGAGCCATGCACTCAGGGACTTAATATGTGGTTATGGCCTGGGCTGTCATATTTCCTAGGCTAGGAAATGTAGCTGTGCTTTGCAACAATGGCTAAAAGCCCTTGGAGCTGGGGAATGGTACCTTTTTGAGACGGGTTATAAATATTCATAAGAGAAGTGTAAACCTGAAATTGATGTTCATGTCCAAGACTCTTCAGGAGTAATGAAAGAAGATGCACAGGCTTGTGGAGCAGGGAGGGGCAGTGCTGGGCCCCAGGGCCCAGTCTGGGCTGCAGACAGTCCGATCCAGCCCACACATGGGCTCTGGGCCACTTGTCTGGCCCGCAGGGCCAAAAGGTTGAGCACGACTGATCTAGATAATTTTACTGGACTACATCAACCATGGTAGCCTGAATATTTTGACTGAGGGGTCCCTCAATCATCATCCCTACCACTCGGTGAACTGTTATATTGAATCACTATATTGTTAAAAAATCTATCATAACTGTCCAACTTCGATTGGAAGTCAGATCGGTGCCTGTGGCTTTAAACTCTGTCAGAATTAACACCCAGTCTCACCTGGTGCTTTCTCCCCAGCTCCGTGGTTAGCATTGGCACAGCACAGGATTCAAGCATTTTTATCCCCCCTCATCTACGTATTTGCATCCCGCTTTTCTGTACAGTAGAAGCGAATATGCATACTTTGTCTGATCTGGTGCCACAGAAGTGAAAATGTAATTGGCAGCTTCACTTATCTTTCTCAAATCCCCAATTCCTACCAGTTTCTTAAGGAGATCTGTGCAGTGCACGATTATCAGCTTCTGAGACTCTCCTTTTCCTTTCGCCATGGACAGCTGCATCAAATGCATGAGTTACTGCTACTCCATGTGTCTGTGCACTGATTCTTGAGGCAACAATTTGTGCTTTGTGCCCAAACCAAAGAGGCCTCTTAATGGCTGCCTGGGCTTCCATGGGACACAGGACACAGTAGTGCTCACAGAAGGTGTGGTAGATCATATCCCTCAGGATAATGCTGGGGGCAAAGCCCCCAATAAGCATGAGTCTGGACTGGATGTCTCTTTGAAAGAGATCCGCCAGTTCTAGTACAAACTGCTGGTATTCCTGATTGAAATCCAATGGCTGGTGTTATGCAAGAGGTCAGACTAGCACAGTGGTTTTCAAACTTTTCAGACTCAAGGCACCCCTCATTAGACTCATGGCACCTCTTGGAAAATGCCTGCTCTTGGGTTTCATTCATTTCTTGACTATAGAAAAGGATAGAATAATTCTTCAGTTGCCAAGATCTCAGAAAGATCACAACAGACACTAGGGATTCCCTATTTGAAATCTTTGGGTTTATCTTGTGCATCATGTGTAGGTGTTTGCATCCCTAACAGTGCTAATATTGTGCAGCACCCTTAAAAGGATCTTAGAGCACCCCAGGTACCACAACACTCAGCCTGAGAATCACTGGACTAGAAGCCACTAATGGTCCCATTTGGTCCCATTTGGCTACCGCAACGCACAGGGGAAGAGCTGGGAACACCCATTAGAAGAGAATGTCCTGGCAGTTCCAGTTATCCTGTGGGCATGTCTGTACAATACCAGTCAAAAAAGACTTCAGCCACACCCTCGGGGAAATAACACCTGCCCATCCGCTCCTGCTTTGTGCGTGTCAACATAGAAATGATGAAATGAGGATGACCTGGAGGTTTTCCAAACCTCTTGAGTACACCGAAAGACCCAGGTCTTAGCATGGTGTCAAAGGTGCCCTCCAGCTCCCCTTCACCACCTCTGGGGCTGGAACATAATGAAGGGCATGTGGGTTATTCCTTCAGTGGCTGCCATGATATAAAGATCCCCTGTGACAGCACAGCACTAAAATACAAGTGCAAAACCAAATTCTGCAGATTTATGCATCTGCTGAACTTTACTAATGGTATGCCTAAATTAATTGCATGCATTCATGACTATGGGGACAGGGCTTTAGGTTACATTGCAGTTATCAGCATTGCTCTGCACCTTTGGACCTCTTTTTTTCTTGGTTGAAGTCCCCTTGCATAAGCTACAGCAAAACTTGGAAGGACATACGGTGATGTGGCTTCTTTGTCAGCTAGTAGCTTGTTCACAGGAAGACATGCTGAGGGAATAAATCCTGTTCCTAGAGCAGAGAGTTGATACTTTTCTCAAGAACATAGAACAACTGAAGTTATGGATGGAAATGACTGCTAAGACCATCCAGGGAAGCAAAAACCTGCAGTCGTAGGACATGAGAGATGTTAACACACACTATGTGTGTCTACACGTGTAGTTACGTGTGCCTAAACTTAATTCACCTTTGTTTAAGGTGTGTTAAGCCAATTTAGGCATGTGTCTACACATAGATGCGCTAATGTGCATTAAGGCACATTAAATTTAGGCTTGCATAGCTAAGTCGCATTATCCCACGTGTAGCTGCATTAATGCGCAGTAAGCATCTACACGTGGGCTAATGCGACTTAGCTAATTGTTCCTAAATTTGGTACTTGCTTTAAGCAGGTATCAAATTTAGGTGGGATTAGTCTAAAATCTCCATTTTTAAGGCATGTTAAGGATGCACGTGTGGACATAAGTCCTTAATGTGCCTTAAAAATGGCAATTATAGGCTAGTCCTGCATAAATGGGCCGTGTGTAGACAAGCCCACTGAAGACTTGCCAAAGAGAGGCAATCGATGTAAAGGGGTTTTATAGTCAACATCTCAGCCTTTGGCTAATGCATTCTGTGACATTATTTCTAGCGATAGACACCCATGTTGATGCTTAATAGACGGGGCCCTGTCTGCGTTTTTTCTATATGACCGCTAGAATAAATATGAAAACCAGACTGCAGGCAGCATAGCTTTCATTTCCTTGTGTGCTAATTAATGATCTACCAGTTCAAGACATAGGGATTGCCTCCTGCACAAACCCTATCAGTGCTCAGAGCCCTTAAACAACAGAGAAAAGACAAAGTCCTTGCACCAAGGAGATTATCTGGTGATACCTGAAACAGCAGGTAATGGAGGGCTCCTGACACAGCCGTGAGCCGTGCCGTTTACAACGGACACACGCATGGATCACTGGAGAACACAATCACCCAAATTTCACTGCGTGCATTGTGCTGTAAAAATGCGTGTTACAAGAGGGACTGTGGAATAATTCCCTCTTCCCTTCAGGAGAGCTTCATTTCAGTTTTGTAAGTTTGATGTCAGTCATTCTGTGTGTGCTCTTTGCACGTGTGCACGCACCCCTGTACACGTCCACACACGTGCACAAAGCCAGGCAGTGAATTTTAGTTGCTACCTTGCAGCTTGGGTTGGTTATAACCAACCCCCCACCCCAGCTCTCTAACTCACCCAAACCAACATCTCTGAGCTCCCACAAGCAAGGGGATGGAATGAAGGGAACCAAGAGTTTGGCCCTTAGCTTGTGTGTTGAACCCTTGAGCAACTCCCAGCCCAGAGCTGTGCCTCAGTTTCCCTGGCTCTGCAAGGGTGGTGCTGACCTGCTGTTCCGTACTGGTGGCTTTACTCAGTCAAGTCCCCCCTGGGCAGAGGTGGAGCTGGCAGCATTGGACTTGGCAAGAGCTCAGGGCTCTTTCTTGGCAGTGACCCCGGCTGCTCCAGGCTGTGCAGCTGCTTGGCTCTGGGGCGGAGCTGATCCCTGAGCAAGGACACGCCGCAGACCCACCAGTACCAGGGCTCGGGGAGCATTTGGGTAACACAAATCAATAGGAAGGCAAATGTACATTACACAATGGACTATGGTATAAATTGGATTTAACATTTACTATTTTAATGAATGCCCTATCTTTTATCTCCCAGGTGACTCTCAGCCAACTCCTGGAGATTTCTATCTAATTCTTGGAGACTCCAGGACAATCCTGGAGGGTTGGCAACCCTCAGAAGGGCACATGAGCCCAAAAGCTTGCAAAGAAAGATAATTTGTTGGCAATTCCATAGTTGGTCTAATAAAAGGGATCATCTCTGAACCAAGAGTTTTAGAGTTTTGCATTTCTTTTTTGTCTCAGACCAACACAGCTGCCAAATATATCTTGGAGAAATGAACACCGTCATTTTGGGCCACTTCTTTTTTTGCCTTCAGGTTTTGGAGCTCATATGGATCAGATTTTTCTAGCTCTACTCCACTCCCCTGGTGTCTGGCCCGTTAGTAACAGCTGAGGTTCTGAATTACTCGGGTGACTCCAGGAGTTTTAAGGGCAAACACGTGTGTTACCAGAAGCAGCGGTAGTGTGTAGGAGATAGCAGGAATTGGGAAGATATAACTTTAATTTTAGCAGAAAACTTCAAATGAGAACAAGGGGGTTTTTTAGTTCAAGACCCAGTGGGGGGTTTCTTTCTTTCAGTTTTATTGCATTTCTTCTTTTTTTTCTGTTTAAGCTAAAAAGCCTTTAGTTATTCACTGTTGGGATTTTTGATTGCCTTCTCTCATGATCTGTTCCCTTCCATGGCCCCTTCCCTCCCCACTCCAGTAGACCCTGCTCAGTTGGATACTTGTCATCTAGTCTCCATTCCCATCCTGTCCTCAGCTCTTCTGTAACACCACCATGGACAATATGGTCCGTGTCTCTTGAGGGGCTGGACTGAGACAAACCCAGATTATTTGTGCTAATATAATGCATCTCACAGAAGAAACTCAGTGCTCTCCACAGTTTTTAGTTAAATAGGCCCTGAAACACCCTGTTTGTCAGGTGAGTAGTAGTGTTTAAGGGTGGGGGAAATTTCAGACAGATGTGAAATGACTGACCCAACGTTGCATAGTGTGGTGGTGGCAAAGAAGGGAATTTAGGTCATGGGCTCTAACTGCTAGCACCCTTCTCTTAACAGCTAGTTTTCACTCCCTTACATAAGTGAACAAATACCTATTATACCCCCCAAACACTGGCTGCTACTGATATTTGTTGGATTTGAAAAAGGGGCACAGAAGTGTAAGAGAGACTGTAATCCCACCACCAAATCCCAGCTTGTTGCACGACTATAAGTCTCCTGGAAACAAAGTCTACTAGATGAGTGCATTGGTTTTAGCCAAGGTGTGAATGTTCCCAGCTAGCTGACAGGTACAACTATGATTATAAAGAGGATGGATATGGGTTTCTCTGTGGCGGTAGGGGACAGGGCTAAGGGCAATGGTCTGAAGCTGCAGCAGAGGAAATTTAGGTTGGAGGAGCTATCAGACTACGAGGGGGGGTCATGCATTGCAAGATGCTCTCTAGAGAAGTTAAGGAAACTTTTAAGAGCAGTTGGGACAGATACTTTGCTGGGATGGTTTAGTTAGGGATGATCCTGTTTGAGCAGGGAGCTGGCTTAGACGACCTTGCAAGATCCCTTCCATTCCTACTATTCCGAGCCTATGCCTCTGTCCCTAGCCTCAAAGATGGCAATGCTACAGGCATCCCAGACAGAAGTTACACATAAACCAGTTTGTGATCAGAAACTGGTTTAAACCTGTAACAGAACAGAAGTTCAGTGCACATCAACCAGTTTCAAAATGGCTGAAACCGGTTTAAGATAAATCTGGTTGAATGATGTTGAATCAGACTCTGGTTGAATCAGACTTAACTGATTTGGGTCAAGGAGCCCTCCCTTGCTCAATAGCTTCTCTTTAGAGCTTAGATGTATGCATCAGGACTAAATGTTTGACGCCGATACATAGAAGCCACAGCTTTGATTCCTCTCCTCGGGGTAGGTGCTTACAACTCTTCTTTAGGTGAACCGAGCAGGACTCACTGCTTTCTTTTTAGTCACAGTCGGCGGAGGAAGAAGAAAAGATGATGCTGACAATCTTTTCTATAACAGCCTAGAGATTAAAGCACTTGCCCGGTACGTTGGAGCCCTGGGTTCTAGGCCCTCCTACACTTGGCTCAGCTAAAATCCACATTTCCCTTCCCCCAGGAGAAAGCCCTAACCATTGGGCAATGAGTTTGGCTGGATAAAGGGGCATGCTTCATGCCTCCTATAGAAGTACCGCTCTGCAGAAAGGAACACACGACTCATGGGGTCAGAAGGAGAGCACCCTAGCAGGTGGAAAACATCTTAATGGTTAGCGTGTTCACTTGGGAGTGAGAAGACCTGGGTCCTGGGCCCTGCTCCCTGGGCTGTTAATGCTATTTGCATTATTTACTAGATTGAAATAATTCATGGAGTGGATCTTCTCCCTTTGCAGGAAAGTGAAACCTCAGACATCTGCTCTCCTGGGAAGCCTGGTATCCTGTGGGAACCTGCTGTAACCATTGTGCTTCTTGCAGTGCTGGGGGAACCATGAAGTACATCAGCACTCGTGGAGGTGCTGAGGGCACTGATTTTGAAGGAGTCCTCTTTTCTGGCTATGCCCCAGATGGTGGCCTTTTCATGCCCGAGGAAATTCCTCTGCTTGATTCTAACACGCTGCGAGCGTGGAGCACCTTCTCCTACCCACAGCTGGTGAAAGAGCTGTGTTCACTCTTCGTCTCGCCTGAACTCATCCCCAGGCAAGAACTGAATGGTAAGTTAAACGATGCAGGGCTGATTTGCACTTGATAGACTAACAATTCAGAGATGCATAACCATTTGTAAGCAGCAGCTTACTTCATCAGGTGTAGTGGGGTAACGAAGGGAAGGGGGAAAAGGAGGGGGAGTTCTGGGAGAGGCATGATGAATTGAGGAAAGAAAAAAGCAACTAAACCATTGAGGGACACATGGGTTATAAAAGCTAATCAAGACAATGAGATAAAAATCCATAGTCGGTTTACCTAACAATCCTGTCTGTGGATGATTTCTTGCTGAAGTTGGTTTTTAAAGTTTCATTGTCTAAGACCAGCCACTCCGAGGTTGGTGTCAGGATGATCAGTTGGTTAAAGCATTCTGCTACAGCCTTTCTGGACTTGAAGGCAGAGCAGCATTCATTCATTGTTTCACATGGGCATCACCGTGTCTGTTTTGTTCTTCATGCTTTGGATAGTGCTCTCATTTCATCCTGAATGAATGCACCACTTTGCTAATGCTAATGCTAATTTTCTTTTACCTAGGAAGGCCATTAGAGGCCAGAATTTCAGCAGTTTATCTTGTTATCTTGTCTTTTCTCTCCCATTTGGTTCCATCTACCTGCTGTTTCTTGTTATTAAAATAGATTGCAGGCTGGCTAGAGATCTGCTCCTCTTCAGGGAAAAAAGAATAGGAGGTTCTCCTGACTCAGACAAGGCTGTATTTTGTCCCTGGCTGCAGATATCATCTTCAGGAAGCGTGAATGAAGTTTCCCAGCGTACTGTCTCCAGGGCATTTATGGTGCAGATGGATGCAATCCCAGCAGTATTCAGCACCATTATGCTGACTGGGAGTAGCCTCCGACAATATAGCTGTTCTGGGTAGATCACCCCTTCTAGGAGCATGTCTGATCGGTCTGAGAGTGGTTGGGTGCAGTATTGGCTGTATGTGCGTGTTCGCAGGTTCTCTGTCACCTCTGTGGTTTCTGTCGTGGATGACTGGTGGAGTGGCCCCTACGGGCATGCGGAGGGGAGACAGGGCAAAAGAGAAAATGTCTTTCTCCTTCTGCATGCAATGGGGACTGATGATTTCATTTAATTGTTTTTCCTCTTATTGGGCCAGCCCCTCAGTAGTTTTAAACACTATAGTTCTGTGGCAGTCAGAAGAGCTTTGCCAATTTGTACCAAGCTTCAGACTCTTTGTAGTGCACAGTGTTTCTCTCTGTTACCTCTCTGCCTCTTCAACATTGGAGAGTCCTTAGCTTTGTAGTAAAGTTGCACTGGGCATAAGGAAGTGGCAAAGCAGACGCTGTATTAGAGAGGTATGCCTTGTACATGTTCTTTCAATTCCCTTTAACCTTTTTCCCCATAGACCTGATTGACAGAGCCTTCACCAGGGTCAGACACAAAGATGTAGTACATCTGTCCAGGCTGAGGAATGGCTTGAATGTTTTGGAGCTCTGGCACGGTGTAACTTATGCCTTTAAGGATTTGTCCATGTCCTGCACAGGACAGTTCTTACAGTACTTCCTGAAGAAAAGGAAGAAGCACATCACTATTCTAGTAGGTAGGTTGCAGTTGAAAAAAAAAAAGGATGGAAGAAACATACTTAGACTTCACCCCAGAGCAAAGGCTGTTGAGATATTATACAGGGCTCTGTGAGAACCCATTGCATGGGGGTGAATTTTATGCTGGTGCTTATGAACCAGATTGATGGAAACCAATGTTTACTGAGACTCCTCTGTAGAAAATGAAGAATCAGTGGCATGGTATGCCTTCCTTAACCTAGAGAGGATACCTTTATTGGTTCAATCTCCTTTACAAAAGTGCCTAGAGTGCTTTACAAAAGTGCTTGAATCTACAAACAGGTGTGTCACTTGATGGTAATTGTAATATTGACAGCTGCCCATTGGGAAGAGGCTATTTCCCAATGCCAGGTGCTCTCCACTAACTAAGACTATCTTAGACTGAAAAATGGTAACCATACATGTTTGACTGACCTTTTGTCTCTTAATTAACTCTTACTTTATTTCCTTGGCTATTTTAATTTGCACCAGGAACTGCGGGAGACACCGGAAGCTCAGCAATTGAAAGCGTAAGAGGGAAAAAGAATATGGATATCATTGTCCTGTTACCCAAAGGTCTCTGCAGCCAGATGCAAGAGTTGCAGATGACAACAGTGATCGAAGAGAACGTTCATGTGTTTGCTGGTTTGCACTTTTTGTTGGATGATCTATTTTACAATATTGCTGGGTTGATGCCTTCATGTTGGTTGGCCATTAACACTAGGACTTGCGGGGAATAGTGTTGCAAGCTGGTCCTTCTGTGATGGTCCATCTTGGATTATCTATCAGCTGTTACCTTCAGGGTCCCAGTGCCCTGTGCTTCTGCTAATGGAAGTCTAGTTGGAGCCCATATGGAATCTTGCTTTAATTTTCTGACTTGTTTGGCTGGTGACTCCGAGCTCCTTTCTCTTCTGGTCATGGGTTGACAGCCATTACCTTGTAGACAAATAGTATCTATCTGCACTGTGTTCACATTGAAAGACAGATCTTCCTGTAGAGGTACTACATCCTCCATGCTTTTGTCTCTTCCCCTCCCTTGGTTTGGAATCACTGGAAGTAAATTGACTTCTTCTATTGATTTCTTCCTATGAAGAACACTCATGCCTTATTTTGGCTCAAGTAGACTCTGGGTTAACTTGGTCGTGTCAGGAATGGTTCCTATACCTTTTTGTAGTACAGCCTTGTCTTATTATCTTGGAATAATCTGGAGATGGGCCCCAATGAAAACCCTCGCTCCAAACCCTCCCAAAACTTGGGGTTATAATTAAAAATTGGAACCCACATCTGTGTTCAAGCTGTGCTGTTGGGTTGATGCCAGTACATGTTGGCCATTAACATTAGAAGGACTCATGGGAATAGTGTTACAAGCTCCTCCCTCTAGCAGCTGCTGCCTTCAGGAATGAACCAAAATCCCAGTTCGCAAGTTCCCAGTTTCACGGCTAGAGTTAGCAACCAGTCTCATATTTTGCTCAGTTACTCAAACCACATATTTTGTGCCCCACTTACTAACTTCAGCAGCACTCCAGTTAATACTCCTGACCTCTTCTCCTTCCCTTCAACAGCTGATGGGAATAGCGATGAAATCGATGAGCCAATCAAAGAGCTGTTCGCCAACACAGATTTTGCCAGAAAGCATAACCTGATGAGTTTGAACTCAATCAATTGGTCTAGGATTATGGTGCAGATTGCTCACCACTTCTATGCTTACTTTCAATGCACTACCTCTCTGGACATAACCCCTCTGCCAACCGTGGAGATCATCGTGCCAACAGGGGGTGGAGGAAACCTCACAGGTTAGAGGAAGGGGTAGGGCATTCATTGTGGTGCCTCCAATGGGGAAGGTTTAGGCACTTTGAGTTCTATGGATTTAAAGGACAACATAAGAACAGTATATTATTATTCTTTATTGGCAACTGAGGGTTTGTAATAGAAAAGATCTTTTTCCTGTACCATTTTAATCACTATTATTTATATTAAACACCTAGTATATTGTTGGAACTATTTGAGACACAGGTAGTCCCAAGCCATCCAGTGATGCCTACCATAGATAATACAATCATGAACATATCAGAAATCCATGTGAACTGAATGAATCGGATGCTGAAGGGTGTAAGATGTTGAGTGTCTGACTTTCTACATCAGAAAGTAATGCAACTGTAGTATGGCAGCTAAACTAGCCTATCTGCAGCCCTTTGAAAATTAATTTTACCCTGGCCTTTTAACTGGATGCACCTCACTGAGGACTGGGGGAATCAAATTTTTTGTAAACTCAATCAGTTGGTCCTTGGTCAATAATAGAGGAGTTGGTGTGATACGGGCCTTTTTTATACTTAAGGGGAAAACCATCTAAGCTGTATTAGTCACATCTCATGGACAGGAAAAGCCTCTGTGAATGCATCCCTGTCCCTTAATTTGGTAGTTGGGACCTATAGGGACTCCAAGTCTATGCATGAAACCATCTAGTTTGCTTTGAGGCTTCTCACATGGAGAATGGCATTGCTGGAATTAAATGTCTTTGGGTGCCTAAATATTAAAGATAGAAGCTGTTAATAGTTGTGATACGAAACATAACATTTGGCCAAACCTGATATATTTGCCCAAATGATTTTCCCCAGTGACTTCACTTGGACATTTGCTTTAAGAATGCTTCATCATGGGGTGAAACCCTTTTGAGCTTACCTTTTTCTTTTCCAGCTGGATATATTGCAAAGAAGATGGGACTGCCCATCCAGCTCATAGCTGTAGTAAACAGCAATGACATTATTCACAGGGCTGTTCAGCATGGAGACTTCTCATTGTCGGGAAACGTTCAGTCAACTTTAGCTTCTGCAATGGATATCCAGGTATATTGATGGCTAACAGGGGAGGTGATGAATGTTATGCCTAAATTATTTTTGCTCTTTGTTCTGTTCTGCACTGGTTCTTATATACCACCCTCATTTCTGTCATTATCTGAACACCTTCTAGAAGTGTACTAAGTCAGGGGTTGGCAACCTGTGACCAGATCCAGCCCAAGGAACCGTGGCTTCAGTGGCATTTGGCGGTGGGGGCGCTCTGGTCATGCCATGCTGCATCCTGGGCTCTGGCAGAGGGCAAGTTTCCCCTGTGCCAAGCTACAGCTGAGCAGCAGGGAGAAGCAGCAGAGGTGGCTGGGTCTTCAGGTCTGAGATGGGCAGGCAGTAGCCAAGTCATTCTGGCCTCCTGCTGGAAAACATTGCTGCCCCATATCAAGTGATGAGGTTATTCATAGATTCATAGATGTTAGGGTCGGAAGGGACCTCAATAGATCATCGAGTCCGACCCCCTGCATAGGCAGGAAAGAGC